GGCACTGGCCCCTGTTCCCAGGTTGTGGTCCCAGACACCGCTGTCAGGAGACGAGGCTAACGACACGCTGCCTCGTGCTGTCAGGGTGGCTTCCTACTAGGAGACCCAGGGGAAGAATAAGCGGGCAGCGAGGCGAAGCCCCCCGCGCCCCGCCTCAGGAGCGAGCTTACCGCAGTGCAGAGTAGACGCCCAAAGACAGAAACGAATAATCGGGATCGTAGTACAAATACACAGACGACACGCAGGCGGGGAGGATGTCGATCACCCCCACGGCGATGATCTTCCCGTCGAGCCAGTACTGCTGGTGAAAGGAGCCGTAGCCGCAGTCCGGCCCGCTGGCGGGGGTCTCCGCCTGCAAGAGGGGGCGACACCACGTGAGCGCCCTCGATGCTCGACAAAGTCTGGATGGTGAATCCATTACGCTCGTTTTACTCGGATGACTAAGTCCTACAGTTTCCTCTTTGTTGCCATCATCTGCCCTAGTCACCGCTTGTAAAACTTTTCACGTGTTAGAAATACTGACCGAACAAAACTTAGGATCAACTTAGGACTTTTTTAAATTGTTTTAAAATTCAAGAGTAGGAAATAGAAGATTTACAAGAACAGTAAATAATACATGGAACATATAAATTTTCCACACAAAAGATGGAAAAGAATCGGAATCGAAGAGAGAGAGAAGACGGAAGGAGGCTGGGTGAGAAAAGCTGCCGGTCAGCCCAAGGGCACCACCACTCTGGTGAGCCATGGCCCACCTCTGCCACCCCCAGTTTCTGCATAAGTTCAAAGGGCTATGACGTGCGCCCTTACTAGCCACAGGGAGTGAAGTTCATCATTTCTTACTGTAACGCCACTTCCACAGAAGACATGCAGAGATTTCTGAGTATAACCATCTTTCTGTAAAAGCTTGCCAAGTGATATTTCTCATTTAAAGTTCAACATTTCAAATGTTCACTTGTTAAATAAAAAGCATAGAGTAATTATTAGGAAGCAGCATAAAAAAGGTTTTGCTGAGGACTGAATGGAAATTAGAGGTGAATAATTTAAGTGAATAAATACAACACAAGCTATCATTCTCCAGTTAAATGCACGGAGAAGGTATGCAGACAAAAGCGAAAAGGAAATGGAGAGAAGTGACAGGAGCAGATTCACTAAGTACTAAGGCCAGGAAAAAGTTGCCATATTGGAAATCTAGAAACTCTTTCATGAACATAAATACAAAGAATCCTTATCAAAATACTAGCAAATTAAACATAACAATATTTAGAAAGAACTCTACATCACAATGAAACAGGATTTAGTCCAGCCAAGCAAAGTTGGTTCAACCTTAGGAAAGTAACTTAAAAAAGAAAGCGATTAATGTAATCTACCACATCAACAAGCTGAAATAAAACCGTATGATCTTAACAACTGATGCAGCAAACACACCTGACAAAATCGTCATTGCATAAAAACTCAATGTTTTCATATGATTTTAAATCACACATTTAAGTAAGTTCTTTTCAATTATTCCTCGCATATTCAAGTCAGTAAAACACAGCAACATAAAAAACAAAGTATTTCAACACATGGCTTAAAAAGGTTTCTTGAAATTTGCTTTGCTATACTTTTCTTTCCAAAGTGTTTTCTGACGAAATATAAATGATCAGCATACTGGTTCTGGTAAATCTGCAAATCTTAGCTATTTAAAATTAACTGTATCTGATTATACTTCAATTTATAAAGGTAACGGAAAAAATAATAAAATATCCGTGAGTCATAAATCCCACAGAGAAGAATGTGTCCTTTCAGAAGCATGCTTAGCAAAAAGATTCATTTATAGAAATGCTCACTGCAGTGAGCTGGCGAATCACTTCTACCGACATGCACCACCAGAGCACCCCTGCACAGCCATGAGCGAAGAGCAATCTTTCTCTCTAGGTGCCCTAATGTCGATACTCAAAATCAGTTTAATTACTAAAAATAGGTTGAAAGTGATTCCATTCTCATTATAATAAACAACAGAAATAAAGAAAAATCTAACCCGTCAAAACAAAAATCAGAAAACATGTGTTTGTACATCTGGGCCACACGATTTAGCCCACGACAGGGCAGACTGACTTCCTGCACGCGCCCTGGCTCGGAAGCAGCCACATCCTACAGCAGTCCTTTCACTTAGCTCTCCACGGGTTGCAACTCACAGTAGGCAGAGGGTCCCCACATCCCTGACCACTTCCGACTTCAGGCCTTGGGAATCCCACTTTAGTGCCTGCAGGTGGCACACGTCCCGCACCTCTTACTTCATCACCAGCTTCATCATTCACACCACTAACGGGCATCAACTGACACCAAGGTGGAAAGCGACACAAGTTCAAATCCCGCGGGACAGCACAGCGTGGCCAGGGCTCGGTGGGCGCGTGCTCAGGGAGTCCCTCCTACTTGGGTCACTGGGCACCCCAGGGCCTTGCAGTACTGCTGGCCTATAGGCAGCCATTGCTTTAGATATTAAAATAAAGTCTAAAAAATGTGCATTTGCTATTCACTTAAAATAATATTCAACTAGGGCCCTCCCTGATCACCTCCACCTGCTCTGGAAGTGACCTACAGGGTGCGGCAGACCTCTCCTGACCTGCCCACTGCTCTCCTCAGCAGTGGACTTCATCAGTCAGCCTGTTCTGCTCCCCACTCTGTCTCTGGTGAATCCTCTCACCGCCCCTGTACCTCTGGTCTGTACCCCAGTTCTGTATGAATAAATAAAATCTTTTAAAAATTCAACTAAATACACGTTAACATATGCTGTAAAACTTAAAAAAAAAAAAAAAAAACCTGTTTTCCCTCACAAAAAAATAGTATGAAAAACTGCAGTTTACATTTTTGCACATCGCGCTGTCTGGCCTAACAAAGGACAGCTGGGTCTGCGCATCTGCTTCTGCATTTCATGTGCTGCCGTGGAGAAGCTGCTGGAAAACACCCCTGCACATGCGTGCGGGGATGAGAGTGAGAGGACTATCAAGACAGTGAAACGCAAGGACTCGCTGAAAAGACCTCAGGGCCACAGGGGTTGCAGAACCGCACTCTTGAGGACGCTGCTAAAAACATTTTAAAATGCAGGAAGAGGAAAGGCCTGTAATGACAAGGCAGGTGACAGTGGCCAGGGCCTAGGGTCAGAGCTGCAGCACCTGGGCTGGGGCCGTCCACCACTGGGTGCTTTCTGGCTACTTTACTCAGCAAGACAGTTTCACTTCTTTTAAAAGTATCACTTTCTGCATTTAATTCTTTTTAGGTCCTCCCTGGTGGCACAGCGGGTTAAAACACAGCACTGAGAAGCACATTTCAGTGTGAGTTGGATCCCTGCCCTGGAGCTGACCCACAGGGCGCGGCAGACCTCTCCTGACCCGCCCGCTGCTCCCCTCAGCAGTGTGCTTAGTCAGTCGGCCTGTTCTGCTCCCCACTCTGACTCTGGTGAATCCTCTCACCACCCCTGCACCTCTGGCCTGTACCCCAGCTCTGTATGCATCAATAAATCTTTAAAATGAAGTCTTTTTACCAACTTTTAGAAACCTCATTTTCTGTCATTCTGTTTTTTCCTTAAGACTCTGCAGAGTGAAAAAAAAAAAAAAAAAAGACTCTGAAGACTGAAGAGTGGCCATGGGCCACTCGGTGCTTGTCCCGACGCCTTCAGTGGCCGGAGCAGCACGAGCTGCTGTCAGGCCTTCAGTGGCAGGCTGAGCACTGCCATCTTCAGGAGGAATTCTGGGCGAGCTCAGAAGGCGCCTGCAGACCGCCTGCCACAGGGCTGGCAGCAGTACCCGGGAGCTGGAGCTGTCTGTCCAGCCTGAATACCCCTTGGCCCAGGCTCTCAGCAGTGGCCCAAGAGGCTGCTTCCCTTCTCACCTCTTTAAAGAGTCTGCAGAGCAGAGACCAGGCACAACCCCCTGGGCGCACAGAGCTGGTGCCAACATGCGCACTACTTCCTGGCTACACCCACCACCAGAGACTCAAGAGGACCCCTCCTCCTGTGGCAGGGACGGTGGTGTCCCCAGAGCCCAGAGTCTGTTACATGGAGCCCCCTAGCAGGTGAACACTGCCTCTGTGAGAGGCTGGGGATCAGCGCAGGGACCGGTCACCACCAGAAGCTCTGGTTCCCAGAGAGCGGCCTGGCTGTGGTTGGTGCAGGTTCCAGGCTGAAGCGGCAGCAGCAGAAAGTGCTCCCGGGGCGGCAGCAAACATCAGCACAGCCCCGGGCCTGTGATCCTGGTCGATGTGACATGGAACCAGGCGGGCTTCCGATGACGTGAGCTGTCACAGGGGCTTCTCCCGGGCTCGCCAAATTCCCGATGCAGGTGCTGTCGCTTTTCCTCTACTGACAAGCTGTCCCACCTGGAAGTCAGGGCAGGCACTAAGTGGTGCCTGCTGCAAGGACTCTGAGGACATCCTCCTCGTCCATCTGCAGGACACCAAGGACTCTGGACACTGAACGTTTTCCTTTAAGTCACGACAGGTACCCAGAACACGCCGTGTGCACCTCCTCTGGGTAGCTGGAAAGCTTCTGCATTTTTAAAACAGGACTCGTACTAGAGGACTCCACAAGCAAACCTGGTTCACGTCTACATTTGATTTTCTGGGGTCTGAATAACACATGCTGAAAGATGGTGACTGCAAAACTACCTTGTAGCTCACATGTTAGCCGAGTTATGTAAACTAACAGCAAGCACCTTTAATTTCCTCCTATGAGTCGGAGATGGACTAGTAATATTTAGTTGCTTATTTTTCTAAAGCCCGAAGTTTGCATAGTTTTGAATGTGTGCAAAGAATTAGCAAAGTTATTCTTTACAAATTTTCCTAAATTTTAGGGATTTAGCTGATACCAAGGAAAAAATATAAAGCTCACCACCACTATGCAAAAGAAAAACATCGCAAGCTGCTGTGACCTACTGCGTGTGCAGGACACCACAGAACCATGGAGAAAGGACTCACTGTGCTCAGGCCAATCTAGGTTCAAGTGCTCAGCAAATGGGTGCGTGTTTACTGGGAAAAGCGCACTGGTCTCCTGACCCACCCGCCTCCCTGCCCCCCAGTTATGCCCTGAACAAAAGTTATTAAGACGCCAAGGAATAGGCCAGTCCCTGCAGCCAACACTCGGGAGGGCGGGGGGCTCACAGGCAGGGTCGGGGAGGTCCGCAGGGGCTCTGGGGGAGCAGCACCGTGTGTCCTCTCTCCCGAAAGGATCTTTCCCAGATCGCACCTGTTCTACTCAAAAATCTATGATTGAAACTTTCTGAGTCATGTGTTTTAAAATAACTGACTCCTGCCGTTTTGACTTCTTGCTGGTTTCATCAAACTCTGCTTTAAAGACAAGCTCAACTACCCTGGCATCAAAATCAACACAAGCTCCTCGAGAGTTAGGGTAACCCTGAGGCCTAGGGCGCGCCAGGCAGACACACAGGAACTGAACTGGCCTAAGACACGGCCCAGAGGCACACAGGAGAGAAGCCCGCACGAGGCGGGAGCCGGGCAGCTGAGGCGGTGGCAGCGCCTGGACTGGCAGGCGGAGCCCGTCAGGGGATTTCAAGACTTCTGAGTCTCGGATGTACGATCCCTTTTTGCTTACCTCCATCAACTGAAGACACCTGTAGGGGTGCCGTGCAGAGCATCACTCAGACCTAGAACTAGCAATGAAGACGCGGGGAGAGGTAGGTCCGGCACAACCCAGCAGCCCCACCGGAGCCCGGAATCAGGAACATAATGGAAATGCACAGCCTGACTTGACGAGGTGATAAAAGCTCTTTTCCCATAAAGCTTAATGAGCTCTATTAGTCTTCAGCTTACGGAATGTAAAAGGGTCAGCCTCACAGAGGGAAGTAACTGACTCCCACACATGGCTCCGTTCAGATGACAGCAGATCAAATTACCGATGTCACTGCCACAACCTGACAGTTCTGCTAGATTCACGTGGCAGCCACTGTTTAGCACTTCACGGCAACGGGCGTGGTTCACTCACACTTATTTTTGTGGACAAAGGAAAATACCTCCTTCATTTTTAAATGCAAATTTTGTATTTTACTGTCTCTACCAGAACTACTTTTATTTAAAATTAGGGAAAATGTTTATATATTTACCTATTTGTTACTTTCCTTCTGCAGCTATGACAAAGTTTAATGGCAGTCTCCCCCAGTCTCCTCCCTGGCTATGCTCTGGGTCTCGGCTCTGTGAGGCAAGGGAGCAGACTCCTAAGTTCTGAGCTGCAGGAGACTTGGGGGCACAGCCACTCACTATGGCTCCAGGCGGCCCCTGTGAAATTCCAGGCTGGAAAAACAGCAACCGGAAGCCCTTAAAATAGTTCCCAAATACTTCAGTCAAAGCAAGCATAGTGGTCGTCATGTAAGCTTGCTTGCTGCCTTCCTCCCCAGGTCCAGAAGCCCAACAAGAAAAGAGATCGCTTAAGCCAAAGCACAACACAGCCCCAGATGGTTAAGTGGAGAAAGCAGATCAGACAGGAAATGATAGACACCCCATCACTAGATTTCCACCGGGCTCTTTCACCAAAGACTAACACTTCCACACAGATTTCCAATACTGAACCAGAGTATTGCCAGATGCAATTAAGTACACAGATTTATTTTATTTGGTGCTGGGTGAATGACTGCTACTGTCCTAATCTACACCCCAGAGTTACAAAACCGATAAAGATGCCACCTTCAGTCTAGCTGGGGAGACGATCGCCGACCGCAACAAAACCTAAATACTAGGCCTGTTAAGCTCTTAGCTGAGTTCTGACAAATTATGGAGAAAGACCTGCAAGGGTTCGGTCTCATCCCCATTGACGTTATTTACTCATCTGTTCTTTAATTCAGTCAACAAACAGTCACTCAGTTCTGCCTATACACTACTGTCTATACTAAGAATGGAAAAAATTCTGAGCAAGAAACAAATTCAAGCAAGAGAAACAGGTCCTCTTGCCATGGGCTCCCCTTGAGAAAAGTCTCCTGGAGAGGTGAACTCACAAGCATTTCTGTCACTGTCCAGTGACAGCCTCAAACAGCGACCTGCCCCAGTGAAGTGCCCTCCCAGGACCCCTGCACTGGACAGCTGGACACCCTGACTGCCTTCAGCCCAGCACCTCTTCTCCTGGCTACCCCTGAGTTCTCCCTGCTGGGATGGTCACCATCTTCTTTCAAAGCTAGACCCTGTCTCCACATCCATCAGAGTTCTCCACATCCAGTGTCCAGCCCAGCTGAACACTGACAAGAGCCGTCACCCTGAAACTACCAAACTCCTCTCCTACTGGGGCTCCTTCTTTGATGAGCATAGGAGAACAAGTCAACATGTAGTTAATGTTCACACTTCGCATGCCTCCTTCCTAGCCCCCCCCTCCGCATGTGGTTTCAGATGGACCCTGCGCACACTTTTCGCCCTGCTTCCACTTTGCAGTGTAGTGAAAGCACCCGACAGTCCATCGGCCTCCCTCGCGCCCGCAGGGCAGGCTCCATATGAGACTTCTGCTATCACTGCACACTGAGGTTCTTCATGATTTTCTTACCGCACCAAGTAATGTTGTAACAAACACATCGTGCGAGTTTCAGCCCTTTGAAGACCTCTCTGACAGTGGTCCTTAGACTGAAATGGTGCAACCACAGTGTGAACTTATAAAAGGTCCTTAAAGGGTCTGACGAAAATGCTTTCTGCAACAGACAAAGTTTAAAAACATCCCATCTCATCACATCTCCTCAAGCATGCTCTGAAAGGGAGAAATGCTGACAGGTAAAAGATCACACATCACTGTTGCCTTAAAGTACACTACTTTTTTTTTTTTTTTTAATTTTTTTTAAGTTTTTTTTTTTTTAAAGATTTATTTATTTATTCGTACAGAGCTGGGGTACAGGCCAGAGATGCGGAGGGTGAGAGGATTCACCAGAGACAGAGCAGGGAGCAGAACAGGCAGATCAACGAAGTCCACTGCTGAGGGGAGCAGCGGGCGGGTCAGGAGAGGTCTGCCGCGCCATGTGGTCACCTCCGGGGCAGGCGGGGATCGAACTCATGCGGAAGCGGCTTAAGCTTCTTTGTGCCGTGCTTTAACCCGCTGCGCCACCAGGGAGGGCCCTAAAGTACACTACTTTTAAGGCAAGGTTGATTACTTTCAAGGTTAAACTTAGAAAACATTTACTGCCATTTGTGTTTCATCAACCAGCTGATAAAATCCAAGCAAATATCTCACAAAAAATATAGTATGTTTCAAGAACTGATTCTCAGAAGTCATCACATTAAGTATATAACCTCTTATCACACTTCTCCCCAATTGCCTTTTGACTAAGTCTGCTTTCATGAACAGAATTATGAACTGTTTTGAGTTACTTACAACTCTTCTGTGCTAGAAAGTGCTTCCTCCGCTGAAGAGTTAGTTCTAGAACTTGTATCTGTCTTGAAGTTTTTTTACGGTTTTATTTTTATTATTTCTAGACTAAATTTTTTTTTTAAACTCTGACAGGGATCGTGTTCATTTCATTTTTATAGCCCAATAAATAAGAGTTACCACCATTTTGAGATTAATCCAAAGATCAAATGGCTTGCCTGTGGCCTCCCAGTCTCTCATGTCAAAGCCCAGGATCTGACCACCATAAACTGCTTTCCCCTTGGTCCTGGTGACTTGTTAAAGTAGCCAGACCTCAGTGGTGCTGGCCTCTGTGGTCGTTCAACTGGCCGCCAGGTCCAAGCTGGGCCACATACGTGAAGTGCCAGCTTCACGCTCGCAGGCGAGCAGTGAGCACCTCTGCATGGAGGGGGAGGCAGTGCGTGCAGGCCCAACCCACTCTTTCCTTTTTTTATTTATTTATGCATAGAAGAACCGGTGCACGGCGGGATGAGGATTCGCCAGAGCCAGAGTGGAGAGCAGAACACACTTGTCCACTGAAATCCACTGTGAGAGGAGGTCTGCGGTGCCCTGTGGGTCAGCTCCCAGGCCAGGGATCCGACTGAGGCCACAGCAGCTGGCCAGCAACTTGACAGTGCTATGACTTAATCCCACCCAAGGAGGGCTGGGAAATCCTTTTAACCCACTGGGAACGGGAGCAGGAAGGGGGACAGAGTGACAGTAACAGCGGAAGCCAAAGGGGAAGCCAGAAGAGCAGCCGGCGAGGAGACTGGGGAGGGTTCCACACTTTACGAGTCCACTGCCTCATCTGAGAGGTCAGAATTATTCATTGCATTTGAAAGAGAAGAAAACTCAGGCTCAGGGAAGGCAAGATGCCCGGTGTAGGTGGCGACAGCGAGGATGCGACCTGAGCCCAGCAGATGTGACACACTGCCCGCTGCCCACACCTGCCCGCCCTGTCTGCTCCTTTCTTGAAGTCTCGCTAACCTTCTCCAGTTACTCATCACCACCAGCCCACAAGACATCTGGTTCTCTGAACACCTAGGACTCCTTCCTTTATCAAATAACTTTATCACTGACCCTCGGTGCCACCCTGCAGAACCGCTGTGAGAGTGAGACCAGGAGGTGAACGAAGCACCCAGAACGGTGCCCGTGTCTAAGAGCTCAAGGAGAGCTAAGTCCTTTGCTCACAGTCTCCTACTCTGGGCTTTCAGATGATCTCCCAACTACAAGAAACCTCCTTGATGACAGCCGCTGCCTGTGACTCCCCAGCTCTCTCTCAACACCGCCGCATTTGAAAGGAGGAAGGCTGAGGTCAAACAGTTCTGGTTAGGACAGCTACAAAAAGAACCTTTGAGAAGGATTGATTTTCCTCTATTTATTACAAAAGAATGTGTACTTAAAAGAAGTAATGACCTGTTATGGAGATGAGGAGTTTCTAACTTACAGGCTTATAGGAAAGCCTCTTAGAGAATAAACCTGCATTTATCTCATTAATGTTGTAAAGAAAATGTCACAACAAATGATCCCTCCAAACTTATCAGACAAATGCCTACTAGTGCTACCGGTGGTGTTCAATTAGCAAGGTAAATGCACCAACTCTTACCTCCAAAGGTGAACTGCAAAGGAATCTTGTGAACTGCAGAGTCAAGTTGGAAGGGAAGCGATTTCGTCCAGTAAATGGGCAGCAAAAAAGAAAACACACAAATGGGAAAGACTATTACACAACTTTTCAGCAAGTGCATCTAGTCAACCTTACAGTCTACATAAAATTAATGTTTTCATATGCTGAATATTCACTCAGAATATGGAAGTGCTGAATCTACCCACAAGTCTTAACTATTTGAATTAAGTTTTAAAAAAACACTTTTTTTGAGCTATCTTAAAGAAAGCACAAATTAGTTTTGAAATATTTTGGCTTTTAAAATTTATCTCACAATCCCCATGTAATAAAACACCCTCCAAGGGAGGAATCAGCAAGCCAGTGGCAGTTAAGCAACTACCCAAAGAAAAAGATATAAAATCAAAGGGCGAAGAGAGAGGGCCGCGGGCAGAGAACCGAGAGGGGAGCCGCTGGCCGAGCCGTGGACGGGAGATTCTTCCTCCCCACCAGCCGCCTGCACCCTTGGGGTTCGCAGATCCGTGGGCGTAGTTTACGCTGATCTCTCCCTCTCACACACACAGAGGGTTAACAAATATTCTCTGAAACTAGTGTTCTGTTTCTCAACATTTAAATGAACAAATTTGGGGAGGGGAGCATGGACAAATGAAAAAGCAAACTGCAAGTCGGCTCTAAAGCGAAGACTGTCCCAAAGCGTCACACACATTCATGATAACAGTTTGTGTTTTCTTTGATGTTATTTACAAAATCAACTTTTCAAATCTCCTTTGAGAGTTACTGTAATAATAAAATACCCAAGTATGCAGTATAAACTCTTGATCCTTCTCAGTGCAAATTCACTACAATAAAAAATGCAGGGCCAAGCCTGTTTCCAAGCTCTGAACTTCCTCTCCACAACAAAGCTAGACAGAGCTCATAGGGAATACAGATAACTTGATTCTCTTTTAAAGACACACACTGAAATACCTCTCAATGAAATTACATAGTGCATGGGATTTCCTTCAAATCACAGCGGGGCTGGAAGGGAAGTAGTGAGGAGCATATATACAAAACAAGACTGAGCATATGTTAAACTAGTGAAGACAGGAGATGAATATATGAGTCAATTAGGATTCGCTCTGCTACATGAATATTTTAAGTTTCCCATAATAAGGTTTATCTTATTATTTATACTTCTTCCCCCCAAACTAAAGCAAATATATCTTCCTAAAATATAACTAGCACATGCAAATTACTATAATTAACCACCTAGTTAAGGAGACCACCTAAAAAGAGTACATTAGAACATAGGCTGTAAGAATTTTTGTTAAATATACTCAATTATGTAAACTATTAAGAGAACTTTCTGAAAGTGCAAGATCTGCCAACATTAAAATTTTGTGTAATGCTTTATGAATCAAGTAATTCTATTAATATTCAAAGTGCAGCTTTTGTGATCTCAGATTTTCTGCAGGAGTCCTGCAGGAGACATCCCTTCCCTTCTAAGCAAGAGCAAACAATGCCAGCTGGAAGACCAGCAGTCCTCACAGCGCAGAAACAGGAGGCACGGCAATGTCTACTTAAAATGAGAAAGGGGCTATCGCGGGTTTTCTGTGCTTTCCCCCAACACGTGTGTGTTAATCCGATCACACACGATAAGTTTTAGTGGCTCTGGTTCACGAGTAATTGATGCATCAATTAGAATGGAAGTTATTTAAATAACCACCGAGAAACACATAAATTTCTCAAAGAAAACGAATGTCCCCGAGGCTCCAGTAACCCCATACACCTTTGTCATGTGTTTATGTAACATTCCTGGCACAGCCTTTCAAGACAGACCTAAAAATTCTTGCCCCATCTGAAGCTGCAAAACATGAAATGCATCTATGAAAGTTCTCAATCCCCAAAGCAGTAAAAGCAGAGTAATAAGTCACACATGCACGCTCCTCCTCACAGGATGAGAGAAGGTTCCCAAAATGCAGCTTCTTGCTGGACTAGTGCCTCGGAAAACCCACTGCCATTCACTTAGTAAGTTGTTTCGTGCTGAAATTACACATACACACTGCACAAATGGGAACGCTTTTAAGAAGAACTACAAAAACCAGATATAATTACAAAATACACTGTATGCCGACATTGAGAGCAGAAACAGACAACTCTTAACAAATACCACTATGATGTCTGATCAGTATAAAAAAGGGTTCAACCTTGCTGTGAATATAAAATAAAGTCTACAGTAATCCCCAGCTCTCCCATAACCCCCCCCCCAAAAAAAAAGACTATGACCGGAGCTATATTGTGGCCAAAAATACCACTTAATAGGATATTTAATATGTATGAGAGAAAGAGCCTATTCTAGATATTTAAGCATGATGTTGACAAAATAAATTTAATATAGTTTACAAAAATAACTCACTGATTTCACAGGCAGGCATATATGTCATCATTTAGAAACAGTTGGTGATAAACATGGTTGTAGTCTTTATACAGATCTATTTTTAAAATGATTAGTAGGAAATATCAAATTTAACTTATTTGGGTTTAATACAGTTGAAAATCTGCTTGACATCTGGCTTTTCAAACTTAAACAGGTAAGTTCCTTGTCAAAACAATAATAATTTGATATATTCATAAAATTCGATTAATAAAAGTGCCATTTATCGTAACCTTTCTTGTTTATTGTTTAATGAACACATCTCAAAGGTGTAAGATCACGTTCTATATTTAGAATCCCAGCACTAAAGGCACCCCGACACCGCTGACACCTCCGAGGCCTCTGAAGCCGGACTCAGGAGCGCCCCCCCACACCCCCCACACACCCCCCACCTCCCACACACACACCACCCCCCACCAGCAGCAGGAGCTCCCTGGCGCTCCCCAGGCCCCAACCCGCAGCACTGGCGGCCTGTTTCATCTCTCCCTTCTCTCAGAGAAGCAATTAATGCTTCTAAATTTCCCAAGCACACAAAATTGCAGCTAAATCTCCTGTCAGACATGATTACCAAATTCTTTTTTCAAGACTTGTCATTAATTATACCAATTACTGGGGGTGGGAAGAGAAGCAAAAGAGGCAAGAACACACGATAATTTTGTCAAAATATCCCGATAAAAATATAATCAATTCTTTTATGATGTAAAACATCCAGCCTTTTGCACCTTTAGTTTCTAGGTCTCTGCAACATCCACCTCTGCTTAATAATTCCTACATTTTAAAGAAGGCGCTGTGGATGGCCAATGTGGCAGCTGCGCCATACTTTCTTTTCCCCACCACGGAACACGAGAAGCGGCCCTCCCCGCCGCGGTGGGATTCCAGCCTCTGGCGGCTGCCCTGGGGTCACCCGCGGTACGCGGGCAGCAAAACACTTCTTTTAAAATTATTTTAAAAGCCCGCTGGTCCAAATGTGTGCTAAGATGAAAGGCCCAGTCACAGGCTTTTAAACAATTTTAAAAGCCCCCTGGTCAAAATAATAACAATATATCATCAATACCTTCACTGTTAGTGAAAACGAACCCTGATCCCATTCCGGGCCAACCGGCGGCCCCGGGCTTCCGCTCACTCCGTTGGCACAACAAGCGCAGAGCGGCGAGAAGAAGGTTTGTCAAAGTATTTCAGCGCTCCTTCCCTCAGCTGAGCTGTGCCGAGGCCCAGGCCCACGCACCTGCGCCTGCCCAGGACGCACCACAGGGCCGGGCAGGCCGGGCATCAGTGCTGCTTACGAGTCCTGGGAGAGCAGGGACACCCCCCGCAGCAGCCCACGGAAAGTGGGAGCGCTCTAGGTCTCAGACTTTGAGCTACTGCTACAATGACGGCACAGACACTTTTTAAAGTCAGCTGCTTTTCGCCCTGTGAGCAGTCAGCGAGGATGACGCGGCATTCAGAATGAATGACCACCACAGACGCACACGCTCCCCTTGTGTAGACCGGCCATCCATGGGTGGCAGGGCTCGCCTGTCAAGTTGTGACCAGGCGTCGAGGCCCCTCAGATTTAATGGAAAAAGCAGATCCAAAGGACAAAAACTGAGACAAATGGCAACTCATGGAGATCACCCCATAACGCGGGCTCTGCCCTCGCTAAAATGTGATTTTACCCCATCTAGGTAAATTTCCCAACGCTCCCTGCAAGGACAGGACACTCGTGAGGGCCGCTCTGCGGGGCAGGTGTGAGTGGCAAGAGCAACAGCGCCAGAGGGACCGACGGTCACGCTGGGTGGCGCGAGTATGGGGTCTTGGCCATAAAGGTTTGGGCTCGTGCGGGAACGAGCTCAGGGTGAACACCTGCCGAGGCCCACGTGAGCGTGCTCTGCAGCAATGCGCGACGGACCGCAGAGCAGTGAAATCTGCAGACACTGCCCTGGGCTAAGCGCACGTGTCAACCTGGAAGATTAACTCTCTAAGGAGAAGGTGACCAGTGCAATCACTGAAGTCCCTTGGCCTTGAACACTTTATGTTATGATTTCATGACCTTAGACAAGTTTTGCAAATTACTGACCAAAAGACAAAGGAAAATGTTGCCCACCAGACTTTAACTTCCGGCACACCTGTCCCGCACGTTAGGTGCCAGGGACAGAATTGTGCCTCTACTCTGACTTACTCGAGTACATGATTCAAAAGCCCTTGTGACTTAGCTGCGCTAACAACACAGATCTCTCCATACATCTTAAGACAAACAAAATACAAAAGTACCCTGACTTAGGGAATATTTGAAAAGTGTGGTTTTTTTTTTTTGATTGAATTATACATGACTGCCTGAGTCTTCTACTTTATTCAAGGAAGTTAGTCTGGACTTACACACATATTAAAAAAAAAAAACCACACACACACACAAACACTTCGAATGCTCAGATCTTGACACTATTCAAATTCTACTAATTATACACCAGAGTTGTCTATATGAGTATTTGCCTATACACACTCGTGTGGTTTCTTTGCATAATTTTCATTTCTTCCCCCTTTATTTCTTCACATAATCAAAGGAAAATGTTCCGATGCAGTGACTACTTTTCTAATTATATAAACTGTTCATATAGAGCGAGCAAGACTATGAAGGGGAAATGGAGCTAAAATTATCTCTGGGATTAAGTTCCAGAAAACATTTAAATGTTTTAACAAGCAAAAAATCACTGCCATCAGATTCAAGACCTCTGCGCAAGTTTCCTCTAACACACGAGGAGAAACCAGCCTCCTCCTTCCCAGGCCACCAGTCCCGCCCGCGGAGGGCCGCCAGGAGCCAACCCGCGCTAGGCTGGAGCGCCACCTGGCGGCGCGACGAGGCAGCGCTCGCCGTCTACTCGGCTCCTCGACTGCGCCGCCCCTTTCCTTGGCCACTCACTGTCCATGGCTCACAGATGCCTGACTACGAACGCCTTCCCAAGAGAAAGGCCTAGGGCACCTCGGCGGCGGAACTCTGGGTTACCGCACTCTGCGCTCCGCGAAGACGACATGCTCTGGTATCTGCCGAAAAACTGACTGCCTCGCGCCATGGCTCCCATTCCTGCGTTTCCTGTCACTGACTCCTGAACGTGTGCCATGGAAGGAAGAGGTGGACACGACGCCCAGAGCCTGCCCTGCTCCCCAGACAGGTGCATGCCGGGAGAAGGCCGTCCCCTCCTGGACAGACTTTCCCCAGAACCTAGTCAAAGCCGGCAGGGCCCCCGCAGACAGCACAGCCACAGAAGCAGCAGTCCGTGAGGGCTGCAGTCAGCACTGGGCAGAGAGAAGTCAGGGGAGTCGCAATCCAAGGGCAACAGCAGCCCAGCGCTTACCCAGGCGGGCGCAGGGTCTTAGGTAATGAAGAGGGGCAGCGAGCAGCGGTGCCCCAGGGGCCCTCCCGGCCACAGGCCACAGCCCACACTGGCCACTGAGGACTGGCCAGCACGATCCATCCCGCAGGCTCGGTCTCCCGCGCCTCACTCGTACCAGGGAAGAGGGTAGGGATATATCACCCTCTAAACTAAATTCCTTTGAATTCCGTAATACTCAACTATGGCATGACGTACGCACGCAAGGTCATGAACTCACACCCCACGCCTACCCTACAATGGGGGGGGCTCCGCGAAAGCCCACATTTTTCCAGCACGTGAGCTCCTCACAGGGGCAAGGCTTCATTTCTTGCTGCTTAAACATCCGATCAAGACAACAGCCTGGATTCAGTCATTGAGGCCAATGTTCTGCGGCTCAAGACTCCGTCAGCAAATTCTCCCGGCGGTAGAGCCCGCCGGGACACCCACCTCCCTGCTGCCAGCACCAATTCCTCGTCACATTCCACTGCCCGCACCCTCCCACCTGTCTCAGAAAACTGTATAAAGCAGCAACACCAAACCTAACTTCGCAGCCTACGCCCTCAGCAGCTTTCCCAGGAGGCTCTTCTTCCTAACATCCTTTCAGTAAAAGGCCAGGCAGATAGCCCTCCCCCAGCAAATGCCCTATGGGAAGGCCCCTACGCTCCCCGAAACTCCTGGTCCTAGCTAGCTACTTAAGGTGGCGCCTGAAGACACATGGGGAGACTGGCCATGCTGGACCGCACGCCTTTGGGGTACTCATGAGCATTACCCATCTATCCGGCCGCTTGTCTCAAGCTGTGTGATGCCTTCTCAGTTATTTGCGAGCCTAGAGGAACCCGGACGCCACAGGAGGCCCCTCCACACATTACTCTTGTAGCTCTCAGCTGCGTCTTCTAACCGCCAGAGCGCAGATCTTGCAAGTCTCTCGTCATGCTCTTTATTTCCTATTCTTGCTGTCACTGAACACAGCAGTTTCCACGTCAATCTCCAGCTCTGTTGTTCACATACAGAAATGCCGCTGATTTTTGTACACCTGTGTCATGTCCCCCAGCTTAACTGTTAAGAGTTCTAGCAGCTTCTTTGCAGATTCCACTGGATCATCTACATAAACAAGTCACTTGTGATGGAACCAGCTTTTACTTCTTCAGATAGATGGATAAATAACAACTAATCAAGATGCACCTCTCACCCAGGGTCAAAAAGCTGAAGCCTGCTCCACCTCCTGTGGGGTAGGCACGCCCACACACGTGCATCGTTTCACTCACAGCACACATCCTCGCATGTTACCCCTAAATTCTCTGGCATGCATCTCTGAAAAAACAAGAGGTGCTTCAAAGACAACACAATGTCATCGCACACGAGAAGCTAGCAGTGATTCACCAACGCACCCCACATGGCCCTCATCCGTACCTTCCCTCTCTGGCCAGGAGGCCAGCGTGCCTCTAGGCTCCTGTATTTGTGCATTATTGCAGACCTTCCTTTGCACTGGACGAGCCCATCAGAGAACCCTTGAGCACGACCCACTGACAAAAGGTCGGTCGTTTCCATGGCAAGACCATCAGCCTACTTGTCAGGGAAGAAAGTGGCGTACGATTAGGTAAAACATGAATGAAAGGTACCTCGGTCTTCCCACATTCGTCAGGCGGATCCCGGTGCACGGCCACTTGATACTTGACATATAAAGAAAAGGACTGGCTGAAGGACGACTTGAACTGTGGGTCCTCAAAGGAGACAGGCACTAACCTCACCTTCAGAGCAGGAAAACAGAAGCACACGCTGTTGAGACACCACTACCTGACGGCATGCTTCTGAAGGTGAGGCTAGCATTCGATCTCCGCAAGTCCACTGCCAAAGCTCAGCGCTGGACCTTTCATGAGTCAGACCCTGAGTGGACTGGGGCAGCCTGAGCACTGACTGGACGCTAACACTGAGGAAAATTAGCTCGCTGGGGCCAGGGCCTTCACTTCGCTAAATTCTTTCAGAGGTGTCGCTGGCTGCCCGTCCGGCTCACAAGCGCCACAAGCTGGTGGCACTGGGTGACTGCCGTCACTGCTACGCTGACTGTATTTTAAGCTTTTCCCCCTTGGAGGTTTTCCCTGGCCAAGCTGGTGTGTGTGTCCACAGCCTACGGGCTGGTATGGCTCGTCCTCCCATCTCACTGTCCTCACCCCCGCGGTGGCACACGGCGAGGACATCAGCACAGAGTCACTCAGCTTTCTGCACGTGACGTCCGAGCAGAGCATAAGAACAGACTGTGCAATATGTTGCTCTAGAATATAAAGGTGCTTTGTTTGCTCTTTCCTTATGAATATTTTAATTCTCTTTATCACTTCTAGATAAATGCAGCCGAACATAATGCCATTAAATAGAGATCATTATTTTAGGTGTTACTTTGCACTTTGAAATTACATACAGATGGCACCTCACACGGCCTTAGGGAAAATCTGCACTTTCAGAATGTCCATCACCTCAGAATCCTCTCTTGGCAGATATGCTGCAAATCCAATATAAATAAAATGTACCACAACAAACCAAGAATACATACAATGATATCAAGTGGATATCATCTGCATAAAAACAGTGACACGTGGCTGCTGACCTGGCTCACAGTTGGCTTATCAGGTGGGTCCTTGTGAACAACCATCTGGTAACGCTTATAGACCTGGAAAGACTCCTGAAACGTGGCTTTGAACTGAGAACTTGGTGGAGATGATCTCACCACCCTCACCTTCAGAAGGAGTTAAAAAACAGTGCTCATTAATTCATTTACACATTTCACACATTTTCATTAACAGCTGCACCCACCCAAAAAGATCCGAAACTTCAGCCCAAATATTAAAGCATGCATGGGTAACAGTACTTTCCTGTTAAACATCAACCAGTGAGTAAATAATGGAAAACAAGCTACTTCTCCAAGTTCTAGATACATCAAGAAGGTCAAGGGCGCTGTCTAATTCTAGACTCAGCGCAATGCCTGAGCCACCCGGCCTCCGCTGGGCGCCAGCGGCTCGCGCCTGGCAAGCGCCGCCGAGGCTGCCGGAGTTCTCCAGCTGTAGCCACAGGCCACTCACCTTCAGCACGTCACACAGGAAAGCTCAACTGTGAAATGGACTTTGGACCCTCTTTCAGGCATCGCTGCTAACTCTTACGTTACCACTCACTGTGCTTTTATAAGCATAAAATAATGACTCTCACCAGCAGAGAATTTCCTATACTCAACTGTTGGTCAAGACTCTGCTCTCCACCTCGGTCACGTACACAAGGAAACTCACGCTGCCTTACATTTGCTCCCAGGTAAAATGTGAGTGCGTTTAAAGCCATAATTGCACACAGTAATGGCTAACGCTGACTTTAACATTCATGTTTACTCATCAGTTAAAATGCGTCAGCAAAACAGAACAGTAAAACAAAATGAAATGAAATACAATAAAGACATAACTGGAAATGTTTCATGTGTGCCATGAGAAGTGGGGCACAGAGGACCCCAAGTGTCAGTCTACCAAGTGTCAGTAACTAAAAAACAGAAGCTGACTGTGGGAGCTGTCTCGTGAGGTGGGTGTGGTGCCAGGAGATAAGACTGCTCAAAAAACATTTTACATAGTATGTTCAATTCTCTTGAAAATTTTGGAAAGAGGAACTCATAGTGGCTGAGGAATTCTAAATGGGACGTTGTTAAAAAACTTAGGTCTGGAAATTTGCACTGTCCTAAAGCTTAAGCCACGTCCAAGTTAATTTTTAAAAATCAGGTCTTTAGTGAAAAGTGGCACTCTTAGATGATGATAGGCTGTAAATTCAAAGACTGACCAGTTACTAATCAGGTATGAGAACATGGTAAGGTGACTAGAGCTAATATTTTAGGAAAGCGTATGATATATATCAAATTAATACTAAAAAATCCAGATTCAACCCAGAAATATAAATTAATTTGGGAATCAGAACTTTGCTAACTGGTTTGGGAAACTGAAGAAACTAGTACAATACTAGTTATTGTACTATAAAAATAACACCATCTTTTGCCTTAATCAAGATCAGATTATTGGAATAGATAAAATAATGATTTGCCTATTATGATCTATTCTTTCACTATCTGAATCAAAGCTGTCAAAAATAAGGTCTTTAAACAGTAAATGTCAAAGGATATAAAGTCAGAGTATCTTATATAAAAATATGCAAAAACTAAAGATGACTGAGACTTGAGTAGCCAAATGTCTATTTTTTAACCTTGAAAGTTTCCCATAAGCAGCATAACTTAGTCAACGTTTACAATGCTACTGCATCCTGTACCTTCTTTTCCCAGGATTAAAACAGCAACACATGCACTGATGAGGAAGACTAAAATAATACTAAACCCATACCCAGCAAAAAACAAGCCCCCCTGCAAGATACCTCCAACTTGTGCGACGCATTCACCGGTAGAGACTCAAAAATCAAATCCTCCAGCGACCTGGGCTGACTGGACTTCGCCTTCGGCGGGCACCAGGACCGTGGCTCCTGCGGCGCCGGGTGGCCCTCGGGTCCTCCGCCCAGGTTCTGCTGCATGACTTTGAGCCTTTTTCTTTCTTTCCGGATTTCCTTTGCTTTCCGACATGGTGGCTTACTCAAATCTGCCCCTTTGCCTAAGAAGAATTTCAGAACAGTATTTGTTTTTTCAAAAGTCTCAAAGACTCTACAAGTTAAGTCCAGACAGTCCCAGCTGCTAGGCTGGGTGACCTGTTTCACAGGGCCCTGGTGTGAGGGTCTGAGTCGATCTTTACATTTCCCCTTCAATTACCATAGAAACTTGGGGCACAATTCTCAGTGCTTAAATGTTTACTGAAAAATATTAATTTGTTTCTCTTTGTAGACAGGAAGGACATCATCAAACATCTGCGTCAGGTCCCTGCTGTCTCGAACCCATTTTTAGGGACAATTCTCTGAAAACAGCAACATAATCAAACACTTAGGAAGTGGGTCTAGGCGCGCTCTGGTCCATGACACATGCTGGCAGGATTTTTTATGAAAAAATGCCCTGGTTGAGCTGAAAAGACTCTCCTGCTACCCAGGCAGTTGCACTAGTTTGGCTCTAGCTAAACAGTTTAGTCAAAAGAGCAACTATCTGACATTTCTTTTAAAATCCAAAAACTGTAACTGTTATAAACAACAAATTTTAGCACTTGTCTTCAATCTGCTAAGACCTTCAAAGTATCTATGCTGAGAAAATCATGAGGTGGAGCCAACTAATGAACACAAAAGAAAACCTTAAAATACCCCCAATGCCCAATGACGGATGGGCATAACTTCTCAACCAGCTAAGCAACAGAAGAGCTCATTATTACAAACACTATGGATTTTGCGATTACGCGTGACCAGAAGAAATGACCCCAACTGTGTGTAAGTCGCTGGCAGTAGCGGCCGTTCCTCAGGGGAAGCAAACGGATGCGAGAATGCTCCCCTTGCGCAAGCGCCTGTCAGGGACGAAACGACGCAATGACGCATCTGAGGGACTCGGGTGGCGGCACCCACCGCCGTCGGCACTGAGCGCGGGCACAGACACAGCGGTCCTGAGCGCCACTACCTGTGTGTCAGCGCACAAGTGCAAAGGTCCAGCACCGACCTCCTTCACTGAGAGGGCCTCGGCTCCCCGACTCCGGAGCCCTGCAGTGCTAACGAACAGAAAGCTTCTGAATGTCTCTCTGCACTAAGGGGCAAGGAGACTACCACTGCAAGTTTTTTGAACATTCACCACTTTCCAAAGAAAACGAAGCCCTGCTGTGTTCGCTCGGGCACGGGCCGACAGCAAAGGCTCCCACCTGGCTTCGGGGCGGCGTGCGCTTTCACCGAGGGGGACGGTTCGCCAGAGCCCAACTTCTCTTCTATGTCTTGTGGTCGAATTAACTCATGAGACTCCTCTTTCTTGGAGCTTTTTCCTTTCTTCTTCTCTTCACTCTGCAAGCTCTCTTTGAGGTCATCACTGAGTGTTTTCAGGTCACACTGTATATCCAACTTATTTATTAATGCAAAGTCCCCAGCAACAGCGTCTTCCACAGCAGGCTCCATTGGCTCGTCTACAAATCGGAACGAATCGAAGTCAGGTTAGCTGACACAGTTAAGATACACACTGGGGGAAAGTGCCCCCTTCACCGATGTCAAATGGAATAAATGATCGGGCGCCCACCAGATCCAGGCTCGGCTTCCAGAGCAGGAGGGGCACACTGCCCCAAGTGGCGACCGCGCTCCGGCCCTGGAGTGTAGGCCCAGCCACAGGCCGGTTCTGCCCAGCTTGTTTTAAAGGAGACCCGTGCCCCTGAAGTTACACCCTTTCTCCTCCCCATTGGCTGGGATTGTAAAAACCAGAGCGACCTTGCAAATCACAGGCTGAACCCCAGAATGGCTGGTGAGCAGTAAAGGCACAGGCTCACCTGGGTCCCCCACCCTGGAGTATCACATGAGCAAAGAAACAGATTTCTGATATTCCTGTCTTTGCATTTTGATCTCTCCCTGTTGCAGGTGTTGAGCCTTCTGCCATAATAAGCACCATCCCCACGAACTAAATTGCAAAACAGAAATAATGCAAAAGCCCGAAAGTCAAGGAAAGCACCAAATGCAACAGCTCCCTTAAAAGACTGCCAGCCATCGATTTATAAGTGGGTAGCATTTGTCTCAAAGCACACCTGCATATTAATTTTTTAACTCAAAACAAACTCCCAGCCACTGGAAAAAAAAAACTGCACTAATCAACCAATAAAGTCTATTTAGCTGTTAAGGGTACGAACAGGTAGTACCAGTGATGTTTCCAATGAGACTGCTGAACCCCGAACCCTCAGGCCCCTGAGCCTCACGAGCTATGTGTGCCCAGCTCTGCCAAGCCTGCTCCAAGTCATCCTGCGTCCTGGTCCATGAAGGACAGTCCACGAAAGCAAAGGATGATGTGCCTGTCGTGCAGCCCAACGCCCGTACATCAGGACTCGCATGTTCAAGTGCTCAAACACATGTGTGACATGAACGAACAAGCTAAGACTGGGGTGGGGGAGGTGATGGAGGAGGAGGCCTCCAGGGATTAGGCAGGAGTGACAGTGAGCTCTGAGAAGGGCTGGCACTCCTGATTCTTAGGCTCATGTGGTAGGCACAGCCAAGAGAAAAACTTAAAACATGGTAAAGATACTGAAAAAGCAAATTATATGCAAGCAAAGGCAATTTAATTATTACTAATTATCTTAGAAAATCTGCTCAAAATTTATCAAGAATTTCAGGTAAAATATTTTTTAAATATTTAAAATTTAGAAAGAGTTTTAGGTAAAATAATTTACTGAGGGCCCTCCCTGGTGGTGCAGTGAGTTAAAGCACAGCTCTAAGAAGCTAAAGCCACTTCAGCATGAACTCGATCCCCAAGGTGACCCACATGGTGCAGCAGACCTCTCCTGACCTGCCAACTGCTCCCCTGAGCAGTGGACTTTGGCCTGTTCTGCTCCCCACTCTGTCTCTGGTGAATCCTCTCACCGCCCCTGCACCTCTGGCCTGTACCCCAGTTCTGTATGCAGAAATAAATCTTTGGGAAAAAAAATAGTAATTGACCAAAGTAAAGCCTGACTCAAATACAGAAAAACTAAATACTGGAAGAGACCATGCAATCTTGTATAAATTGCATCACAATATCTATGTCTCCAAAGATAGTAATACTTTCTAGTTATTTCATAAGGACATTAGTTGGTCCACATTTAAAAAAAAACGCTGTCAAAGCAATTCAAGAAATAAAATTTTGATAAACTTCACAAAATCCCATCTTCCAAAATGGTTCAAAATCCTCCCCCGAGTACCGCCACTCCCTGGCCTGCATTTGCAGTAGCCGTGACCGGGGCTGGGGTGGTCACTGCTATGGAGCAACAGCCCAGCCTGGCCATGGCAGGCCCACACCCCCCACTGGCCACGGCAGGTCCACACCCTCACCCCCATCCCCACCCCCGGGGAAATGACTGAAGCAAGGACGATGGGGAAAAGTATCAATTTAAAAAAATAAATTGTTTTAAGATCCCACCTCTTCTTACCTTCACAATTTCCTCTGGAAATTTCTCCTTTAGCCAGAAATTTCAACATTTTTTTCAAAACCTTCTTGTGAGACTTTGATGGCTGAAACTGTAATGGTCGACACCTAGGAGAACAAAATATTTAAAAAGTGAACTCAAAGCTCCAAAGAAGTGAAACAGCCCTACAGAGCATCTAAAGCAGTAAGGCAAAGTGCCCACCTCAGAGTTCTTGGCAAAGGGCTTACAGCAGCCTCTACTCTCACCCCAAATTTCATTAAAGCCACAGTTAAAAGGAAAAAAACATAAAGCACCAGGAAAGAGAATGCGGGAAATGGCTGGAACCTGGAAAGCAGATGGCCAAATGCTAAGAGACCAAAGAAGCTGAATCGTCAGCCTACAGTGGGAAAGTCAAAAGCAACCCAATTTTCTCTATATAACCCCAACATCTTAGGGATTGGTGAGACCTAATACGTCAGATGCTATGAGTGAAGAGAAGTTACAAATAGGATGCCAGGGAAAGCTTTTTTTAGCTCAGAGATGTCCTATCTACTTCCTGTCCTTCACAGACAAATCTACTTAGAACAGCAGAAAACTGCAAGTTTTAGGAAGAGTAAAAAGTTGTTTTTACATGATGAGGTGTGAGGCACAGCTAAAGTCACTGATGTTGGACTGGACAGAGGAAACATAAAGCCAGGCCGCCTCCAGCCCACTTCCCCAGCCGGGGGTGGGGTGGGGTGGGATGGGGGGGGGGCAGCAAGTGATGCTCTGAGCATGTGCAGACCTGACCACACTACCATCAGGAGCCCAGGGGAATGGCCCGGCCAGCTCACCCGCCTAGAGCCCACAAAAACATGCTCCACGCTCCCAGGCACATAGGAGTCCCACGTGGCCCTTGGAAAACTGAGCTACCACAATCTTGAGGAGGTCCTCTATAGACGGGCATGGAAACTGGAAAAAGAAACTTGCAGAATGTAGAGTATCTAGGAAGAAGAGAACCTAAAAAGATGAAAGGAAAGAGGAGTCTTTCCTTTCTCTTGTTATCACCCACACAATAGATACTAATTTAAAAAAAAAAAAAAAAGCCTGAGAATAAAAAGCCCTCTGAAAAGAAAATATGGCAGAATACTCAAATGAAATAAAGACTTGAATAAAGAAGCTCAAAAGCGGCAAAAAGAGAAAAAACCAAGAGGAAAGAAAAAAAGAGGACCCGGCTAAAAGGTCCACTACGTAGAAAAATGATAAACACATTAAAGCAAGAAAATGAAGGGCAAAGGGGAACAAAATAATTCACAGAAACTTCCCTCAGCTGAAGGCTGAGACAGGAGCTGCCCGGAGAACAGACCCCCAGGTCTGGGCGCAACAGCAGACGCAGGCAAACATGCTGTGGACATCAGAACATCAAGAACAAAAAGCTTCCAAAGAGAAAGAACATGTTTTGCACAAAGAAACGAGAATCAAAATGCCACTCGCCAGCAAGCACAATGAGCAAAGCCTCCCAAGGTCTGGAGGAGAATGAGCCCACCCTGCCCCTCCATACCCAAACTGTAAGTTAAGTTGTAAGTAAAGTAGTTTCAGACATGCAAAGTCTCAAATTTACCTCCCCTTTTTTTTCCTCAAGAGTTCTAAGAAGATGAGCTCTACTAAAATGAAGGAATACTGCAAGAAAAAGGGCAGAGGAGACAGAAAATCCTGCTTCAGAACCAAGAGACTCTAAAGAGAGCAGCCGGAGCCTGCAAGGCACGGCGTGTGGGGGATCGTCTAGCTGCGTGAGGCCGGAAGACTCGGCAGCAGAACCTCGCCAACAAGATCCAAGTGGAGAGCGCCCGCAGCACTGGCCACACTCCAGGAGACCTCACCACGGCGCCCTGGCAGTAAACCAGACAGAGGCACTGAAGACGGTGGACCAAAACAACAACTACTAGTTCCTGGGAAAGCAAAAGCTTGTGCAGGAAAGATGGTATCTGGCTCAGCTACGAGGCTGACTGACAGACGCTAATACTGAATGATGGAAAACTGGAGCTGGAGCAGGGCGGAGGATGAAGGACGAAATAAAGTAAATGTTGTCTTCCCAAGAGAGAAGCCCAGAGGTGACGGAGGAAGCGGGGAAGCTGGGGAAGAGTTATGTATTATAATTCCATAGGCACGCTATTACAGATCGGGAAGTGAAGCGCCAAAGAAATCATTTAAAAGGTTTGAAGGTGACCCAATGGGAACAGGATGGGCAGGGCAAGCGGCCCTGTAGCAGCTTAACAAAGTAAGTCTGATGTGTCTATTTGATCCTTTAAATAAAATCAGGTGTATGTATAATTCTAATGAAACTAAAAAAAATAAAACAGCTCCTAGCCAGACACATTCGCCCTGATTTATACTCACAGCCACCAATGTGGCGCTTACCTAACAGAAAGCGCAGATGTAGGTTATAACTTCCTTGCCTTTATTAGTGTAGCAAACAGTAAAGTAAGGGCGAGTATAAATATAACAAATGACTCTTTAAAAGCAACACAAACAATGAAGTGATGTAGACAGTAACAATTCAGAAAAGGTCTGACTCAGTGCAAAACAATGAAAAAAATCACATTTACTAATTACTTTGTTCAGCCAAGTTAATCAAGCTGTTCTTCATAAAAGCAACATATTTAAGACTGCGCTTTGCAAGTAACCGGCACTCAATAACTTGCACAAGCTCTGGCTCTTTAACTCACGAAATTAGCTTTTTGTGGTTACAGATTCTCAGGATTCAGGTCAACCAACTCCAGAATTATCTGAACAGAATCCTGGCCGCAACCCAATAATAAATTGCTCTCTAGAGGAAAACAACTTCCGCCTCTGGTGCTGGCTCTCCTTCATAACCAGCAAGCTGAGGGGACAGCTCAGGCCTCTGTCATTTCAGTCTCTGCACAACGAGACGGTGTCAGTGAGCCAGATACCTGTCTTTCTCTTTGGGCTTTGCTTATCATTTATCCAGCTCGATAAGAAAAAGAATTCCTAACCAGGATTTTGGAAGTCTGTGATCATCCTAAAATTAATATGCTCCCTCTCTTGTTCTTTTGTTTTGTTGCAGTAGTCTGTAACTTTCATCAAGTTCTCAAAATAGTCTACAACCCAAAACCAAGAGTTAAGAGCATCTGAGGGAAGCAGCTTTGGCCATCCGTCCCAGAATGACAGCGACAACGGTGTCACTCGTTAGCGGCAGCAACAATCACTGAAGCTGAGAAGCGCCTCAGGATGTTAATGGACTTGCCCTACTTCCTACTAGGGGGCTTCCAGGGGGAGGTGGCCCTTCAGAAGAAGCAGAGAAGGGAAAATCCTCATGCTAGGATGGGTGAGATGGATGCAAGGAAACCCCAAAAAATTATGAAAAGTTAAGCAAACACTCTACAGGAAAAACACTCTTAATTTAGATGTTGCAATGAAGAAAACAGATGAGGCAGATTAAGTGTCACCTTCTTCCTCCTCCTACAGATCCTGCTGGAATAGAAGCAGTGTGTCAAGTTTCACACTAGAATGCAGAAAGGCCTGAGCTATTTAGCCCTAAAGTCAACCCTATATAAATTTGACATCTAAAAATAATCTGAGCATTGTTCACTATTTTCTCAGTATTCCAAGGTACCACTGACAAAAAATGTTGAACAGGTATTTTTTCTTATCTATACCCAAACCAATTAAGAAGCATTAATGACAGCTATAGGTCAGCACACATGGACAGCATCTTTATATAAGAAAGAACTCACTTCTCTTTACCATCAACCCCTACCTAGACTGAAAATTGCCACTTAAAAAAAAATTGACAGTCTTTCTATCATATCACACACATATGTATTTCTATTAAACAAATAGTTACAATATTGCTATCATTCAAAATCCTTACCTGATTGTATACTGAGGACAGCACGTTTGATTCATGACAGGTTTGTACACATATTTCCCACTTCTAAAATGAAAAAATAATCTTGTTAATTTCTTACGCTTTGTTGACATGACCCAAAGGAGATTAGTACAAGAGCACATTATTAAGGCAAAAATTTAATCAAAATGTGAAAATGTTCTTATGATCTGATAACTCTTCCTAAGTGGAATGATCCTCAATGCAGACCCGCGGGGTGGGGATGGGGGGTGCAGCACCCAGAGCCCATCTCCTAACCCTTTATGTCTGTGCTAAAGTAAGAACCGTCTGCCGGGCACCTGCGGGACCCCGGTGACTGGGGGCTGCGCTCCTCAGCGCCACAGTGCAATCAGAGAAAACGGCCCAGGGTGTGCTATGGCTGTACGCTGCTGGCTGTGCCATGCACGTGCACCCGCACCCCAAACGAGCCTGACCCCCATGCTTTCTAGATCTTCATTAATGGCAGAATGTGACTTTATGGGCTGCATTTTGTCCCCCCAGAATGCTTATGTTGAAGCCCTAACTCCCAGGCCCTCAGATGTGACTGTTAAAATGAAGCTGTTGTGATGAGCCCTCACCTAAACTGGCTGGTGTCCTCAGAAAAAAGGAAACTGAACACAGATGCCAGCGATACCCGTCAGCAGAGAAGGACACGAACATTCGGCCCACTGCAGGGCGCATGAGCCTAAGTGGAAACGGCGCGAACGCCGAGACCACTGAACTCGGCTCACCAGGCTCATGACAATGTGCTCTGTGCTGTGGGACAGCGAAGTTTCCACAATAAACATCTTTAAGAGAGTAATAAAAACTTCTTAAGCCTCTTCCCAACAAAAAAGAGCATTTTAAAGGAAGACAGCATGTCTGAACCGTGAGAACACGCGGGAGCACACAGGTGCCGCGCGGCCCTGTCCGTACCTGCGCCAGCCGCGGTCGATGAGGTCCTGGTAGTCCTGCGCCGTCATGGAGTGTGCCCACATCCCTGAAAGAACAAGCGTGTTAGCCACGGCATGCTGAAGCTTTCACTTGGTTAAGGCATGTTGTTTTTTTTAATGTGAATGCTGAGGCAAAAAAATCTAATTCACACCAAAGAAACGGAAGTTTACACATACTTGGTATTTGTGAGTTTGGCATAATATACAAGACATGGAAACTATATTTGCTTCAAGACCAAAAAACTGAACACACCAAAGAGACTGAATTGAATTCAAGATTAGGCAATTGCTTTTACGACACCATAAACAGATTAGAGCTAGCCTCTAAGCCACAAAACGTCCCCCAAAGCTGAATAAGCTAATCTTTTCAGAAAAATTAGAAAGCAAATGTTTTCTTATGTGTTGAAATTCTCCTGGTTTTATATATTCACAGCATAACCTTGAAAACTGAGAACTGGGCAAAATTACATACTATTCTTTTTAAATATAAAATAAGCTGAAAATAACCCAATGTCAGGAAGAGGAAAATAAATGATTCCGGGGACCATGAGGTCATCTATGGAAGATAATAATTGCAAACAGGAAAAAAACCATGAGAGTGAAAACATTTAAAGGTATAACTGAATTAATGTGAAAAGGAAAATGGCTTTTATCTTGTCAAGTATAAGCTGCATCACAGGTACAGGAAGGTACAAGTTGAGCAGGATAAGACAGTACAGTGGAAACGTCCAGAAGCCTAGAGGTGACCATTAACACCAACAAGTTTCTTCATGAGCCTCAAATTCATCATCTGTCAAAGAGGAATAATAAAAACTGTCCACCCAGTAGGAAAGGTATCCGGCAATCAAGATTATTAGATATAACGTAAAAATGACAGACATTCAGCTCTGTCTAAGTGACAAGTTGAAGGCAGATATTATTAGGACTTCAGAGAGGATCAATATTAATTCTCTTCCTAAATGAATGGAAAAATATACTAACGATCTATTAAAATATGGATTTTAGACACGTTTACTAGGACTCATTATTACATGTGCATTATAGCAATGAAAGTAAGACTCTGACAAGGGAAGGAGAAGTCTAATGCCCGCAGGCAATCACTCTCCCCACTTGTCCAGTCCTCCTGGGTCTCTTCCCCTTGAGCAGCAACCATGTCACCGGCATCCAGTTTCTTTTCTTCCTTTAACCTTTGCCCTGCATGAACACGTTCACCGTTTACTCATTTTCGATTACATTATATCACCCTCCTCCCTCTCATCCGAGCAGCACTGAACAATTTCAGGAGTTAACGGCCACGCCCTGCACGCCCGTCTCATTCCTCTACTGTTGGGAAATCAAACATCTACTTTACAAATGAAATGCGAAACTCACATCTCCGTGGACATCGCATTTCCCACAAGATCGGATCATCCCTTCAAGCAGGAGACTCTGCCTCTGCCTGAGTAGGACTCGGCAGGAAATAAACGCACCGTTTCAACAAAACCTTGAGGGGGGGCAGGGGAGGGGGGATAAAAAGCATCAGGAGGGGGCGACAGGACAGTGCCCTGGTGTGTTGTCCTCGTCCAGGGGCTGGGGAATGACCTGGCACGTGGCGAAGATGCCACGGGGCGGCCCCTCGCCGCGGCCACCGCGGTCCCCGGTGCCTAGTGGCATTTTATCCGCGGATGCTCAGGCAATTCCGGGCGCA